AAGGATGAAAAGAGAAAGAAGTTTAGGTAGTAACTGTGGCAATGCTAGATAACTTATTTATTTCGCACTCCGCATACGCACTCCATTTTAGCCAACACTAACATTAACGGTGCCGACAGAAAGTTGCGCTACTACATATATTGATTCAGGCATGCGGAGAAAACCGTTTTCCGCCATTGGTTTCAAATAACTTACACATAGACTGCGTTCAATAGAATACAACAATTTTGCAATTCATTTTATGATTGTCTGCTGAGACAAAATCATTCTTCTAGATCTAAAAGTGTAATTCAATCAACAAGAAAACTTCTAACAGTTGCAAAATAAACGTTCTGCTGAACGCAGCATAGATACATGTCTGTGACATTTGCTTGCGCTGAGAAGTAAGAAGTTAAACGGTCTGTTAAAAATTACTAAAAATAGTAAAGTGCATAGTGTCAGAATGTCCAATGTTAAATTATTCAGATAAAAATAAATTTTCAGAAAGTATTGGAACAAAATATAAAAATTAGTTTGCATAGATAAATTAGATTATATATATAGTATATATATATATATATATATATATATATATATATATATTTAAAAGTAAGATAAAAATAATAATCTATTCGCTTGTATGTAAGTCATATCTAAACAAATAATAATAAACAAGATCAATTGAATTGAAAAAACATCATAAACTAAGATATATAATAAATTCTGTTTATTACTTCGAAAGTAAAAAAAGTAATAAACGGAGTTTATTGTAGATCTTAGTTCATGCTCATTTTTCAATTCAATTATTTGTTTAAATTAATTATATTAATATATTCAAATGTACATGACCAGACAAAACTTCCGATTGTAAAAATTACTATTTTAAATCGTTTGTATTTCGTATCAAGAGTTTTAAAGTGCAATTAAAAATTGCATTGTTATTTGACCGACAACTAAAAGCCTATAGCTAAAAATAATACATTTTCGATGATTTACGACATTTGATTATGATGATTGACACTGCAGCATGAACATCATTGACTTGTATTCGCGGGCGCGAATTTTGAAACACCCTGTATATTATATTTATTTAATTATTGTCGTTTCGTCTTAAATTTTAATTCACGAGAAAAAGAATTTGCGTTACAACAACTATGGCATTAGGACTAATTTGTATTTGACGGTTCCTGAAGTGAATTTCCACAGCAATTCCTATGAGTTTTTTAATATTTTTCGACTCTAATATTCATTTATTACATTTAAGATCAAATATCGTTGATCATCCAGCTTATTAACTGGTTATAGAAACTGTTATGGTTTGATGTTGGAGTGTAACCACAGGATGAAGATTTTTATGAATTTTATGTAATACATTCACTGATGAAGGCTAGAAGTTAGTCGAAACATTCGACAAATATATTATTTATAGAGGATTGTTTTAGATCAATCGAAATAAATGCGCAATTATTACAGCGTCAATTCCTAAAGGCCCATTTATAATTTGTTAATTGTTGTAATTAAAAAGATTTATGAATCATTTTAATAATTATAATTAATGAATCTTTTTTTGAACCATGTGACTGAAATAATGAGTCGAATCTAAATTCAACAATGTTTATACGTGGAATCGTTTGTATTTCGTATGAAGAGTTATGAAGTACTATTAAAAACATTTGTGAGTTTTCCAGACACTTAATTAAATATTTAAATGTCATGTTTTTGACCGCAATATAGATTCAGGCGCTACCGTCACGGAAATTCTGTTAGACGCGATCGGTAGTCCAGTATTTCAGTACTCCTGATTCTTTTCCGATCATATCATTCATAACAAAATTGCTCCGTTCAACAGGAAAAGTAGTTGTTGAGGTTAGAAAATCTGTCATATAGTGAAGTGTATAGATCATGGTGGAAAGAATATAAGATGAAGTACGGACAAGGATGCGCAAGAATACGTTCCAAAACTCGACTCCGAATAAGGGGTTTCGCACAATAAAAGGAACAGAGAACAGAGAATAATAATTTGAACCTATCAGAAACTGTGTATTCCACAATACATGATTTTATTGTATAGAATCCCTATCAGAGTTAAGTCCACGCCGTTCCAAAACGTAAGGTAACTAACCATATGGACGGAGCCTATTCGTTTCAAAAGTATAAGTAAACCTTCCTCGGAGTCAACTCTATGAACCCTGCTTCCGAGGTAAGTTGAAAGAGTAAGTATGGAAAACGAAATTTGAATAACACATGGAAGATATATCTATTGGGTCATCTAAAAAGTATCCGCGGTACTTTGTCACTAGATATATTGGATCATCTAAAAAGTATCCGCGGTACTTTGTCACTAGATATATGACCGTCAACACACATCTAATGACAAAAAACCGCGGATATTTTTTAGATGACCCAATATTTAATAAGTACTGAATAAATTGGAAATAAAATTTTTTTTTATTATTTTAAATAGAGAAAGTCAGTTATAAACTAGATTACTTGGTATAACTAACAAATATAATGGTTATTAAATTATATGTCAGTATATTTTTACTACCAAATAAATGCACGAAGAAGGAAAGCAGCTGCAGTTGCAGCTATATTTCAATTGACCGTGTTTGTATTTTATAGATTTATATAGATTTTTTTTTATTTTATAGATTTATATTTATAGGATATAATCGTAATTTTATATAATGCGAACATATGCGATGTCCTAATTAAATTGAAAATATACTTTTATTTTTTATTTACTTATTTTTCTTCTTTAATTACATTTATTATTTCCATCTTGCATATAAATATCTTTGCCTAGC